AATTTTGCAATAATTTCAATTGTACTGCTAAGCAAAATGTGAGGAAGAAGGTCGAACAGTAAAGAGGATTACGATTATCTATGTTCTGCTATATCAAATGTCTAAAAAGTAGGCTAGGTGGAAAACAGGTGGTTTGAATTAATACATAACAACCATATTTTTAACCACCAAGTAGATATAATGCATCATGTCAGAAGCAGCAAAGCAAAAAAGGAATTGAATCCCACACGTTAGTATCAAAAGACACAACCGGCGGTAGATCAGAGACCTGTCACAAAGCTAAAGCTCACTTGTAATAGCTACAAAAGCACTTTGATTATGAAATGTCAACTAGGCAGTAGCTAAGAAAGCTGCTGTTTAATGAAAGGTCAAGACAGCATGGCTTTCTCTGGGCTGTAATATAACCTGAACTCTGTACCTTGTCTTAGAGTAAAAAAACACCCCACCAATTAATAAATTGCATTTTTATCTGAACTGTTATCTACTGCTATGTCTCCTGTCATCAATCACCATAGATGAAAGAGTTATGAAGAGAAATGTTTTCTCCACCTGCTCTGTATGTCTGGCAGTGCTTTCAATGCAGTTTGGTTTACTTTCCCTTGTCTGTATACCATAGCAACACGAGATACACATTCCCTTCAGAAGCGACTTCTGAAAAAGTGGGATGTTTTATGTGATTATTTCTATTCTATCTATCCAGTGCGTAGGTCAAAGATGTCTCAGATATTAAACTCAATCTTTGCTAATTTTTCTTCCTCTTTGCATATAATGCGTTGACTCTCTTATACATTCAGAAAATTGAATTTAAACCATGCGTCAAATAATTTTATTTTATTAAGCTATTTTATAAATAGCCTAATAATGTAATCGCATCCACATTACGAATTGTATCAACAGAAGACACAGTTGCAACTGACCAAGTACTTGACAGAAAGAGGAACCAATTCTCTGGGCCAGTCAAGTCTCTGTGATTGTCAAAACCAAGCCTGGTAAGAGTCAGCTTTCATGATCATTAAGCTCTTAATAGATCAATTCATCACACACACAAACAATATCACATTACTAAAAACTGAATGACCCTAGGGGCAGACTTAGTGAGATGCCTGCGGGATGCAAAAGGCAATCATCTAGATAAACGTGTGCCCTGGTCTTTAAGTCTTGCCATTTAAGTCTTAGACGCTTCCTACATCTCAGTGAAAAAAGTAAATTTGATAAACTAAGAGCTTCAAGATAAACCCTATGCACAGGGCAACTGCATACAAAAGCTTCATTTGATTGGCAAGAACTGAAAGACAGCTACAGAAATCCAGCCTCACCTCCATTTTCATCATGTTCTCCAACCTGTGTTATTACTGAACCGTTCCTATGAATCATATGGTGAAATTCTGTTCTAGTTGTAGATTCTTTTCATGTGGCTTCCAGATTAGAATTTTTTCCACAAAGGCACCTATCAGGAATGTTACGCAGATAACAGAATCGTTCTTATTTTATCCATCAGTTCTTGTGAGAAAAGGAACAGGGAATGAGGTTGTTTAATGACATGAAAGATTATCAGAAAAGGCTGTTTTGGGCAGTGCATAATAATTATTTGGTGTAACTAGGTCTCATCATAACTGACTAGTAAACTACCATTCCAGTTGACACCATGAAGGCTCTCACTTTAAGAAATACTTTCACAAGCCCAGGTATCAGAGAAAGGAAAAAAATTATACAGTCACTAGTACTAATCCTTTGTGAATGAAGAACCTTAAATTCCAAAAGGATCTCAAAGCACTTGCATTTAAATGGGAGGATTTCACATGCATTGAAATATAACACAGCTCAGGTGCAAAGCACGGCGATGATTTAACTCTGCACAGAGGTTTAAATACAAAACCATACCATGAACACTTGCTGATCATTAGCACTCAGGCATTTTTATTTTATAATACTTCCAACAGACAAGGTTTCCAGATTTACATGCTCTCTAGGGGAATCTTCTAACTCAGTGCCTTAGATGAACTCAAAAAGAACACCAGTTGTTCCCAAATCACTTTTAGAACCTCTGCTTCAAGAATCACTGCATCTAAAGGGTTTACTTCAACAAAAGATTAGCTGGTAAAATGTACCAACGCAAGGTTTACAATTTGAAAAGCAGCCTAAGGGAACTGTTCTTCCTATGACAGTTATTTAAAGGAGGGTTCTATTTTTCAAGACAGGTTTAGATACGTCTCAGTGACAGAATTTGTGCCTAACCAACCAGCAGGATTTCCAAGTGTATAGTCAGGCTCCATAATAACTCTGAGTCAGAATGCAAAGCAAGGTATATATTTCCATGGAAAGAAAATTCAGACACGAGAGTGAGGAGGGAGCAAATATTCCCTAGTTTGGACTGTCCCTCACCTTAGCTATTCCTTAAGTCAACTCCTGAGGAACTGCCAGATCTTCACGTTTCAGTGAAGCTAACACCTACAAACCTACCTTCTGCAACTCAAGATCAACTGCTGCTTTTCAAACATTGATTTAATCAGATTCAAACTGATTCGCATCCACTGTACATCGTATTTGAGCAGATAAAACAAAGTTGTGTGTATCCTACCACACAGAACAGGTTGCCAATGATACAATTTGCCTAGCTCCAACACATAGAAAACATTGCTGGTTTACTATATTAGTCTCCAACCTTAAACTCTGAATCCTGAAAAGCCTTTTGAAAT